GCGGCTTGCTCCCCTGTGTAATCCTTATGTGCCGGTATAAAAGTCCCATACTTGGAAAAGCGATCAGCTACCACCATGATAGAGCCAAACCCCTCTGATTTGGGCAAGGCAGATATGAAATCCATTGAGACGCTTTCCCATGGCCTCTCTGGTATAGGAAAGGGCTCCAAGAGTCCTGCCGGCACACGTTGCTCTACCTTGTCTTGTTGGCACACAAGACAAGTCTTCACATAGGCCTTTATATCGTCCCGCATGTGAGGCCAGTAGTATACCTCCTCCAAGAGTACCATTGTCCGCTGTATCCCAGGGTGACCAGCCCATAATGAATCATGACACTCCTTCATGATGTCACGCCTAAGGTTGTCCCACTTAGGCAGATAGGTGCGACGTCCGACGGTGTAGAGTATCCCATCCTCTATCCAGAAGCGTCGGGTCTTTCCCTCGTTAGCCAAGTCCATCAAACTCTTGGCCATAGAATCCTCCTTTAAACCGTCCTTGACTCGATCAAGGAGGGTGCTAGCTATGCTGCTCACGCTAGCAAAGATTGCCTTACGGCTTAGAGCATCAGCAACTACATTCACCTTCCCTGGCTTGTACTCCATAGCGTAGTCAAAATCAGCCAGGAAGTCTTGCCATCGAGCTTGCTTGGGGCTAAGCTTCTTTTGATTTTGGAAGTAACTTGTTGCAACATTGTCGGTATAGATGGTGAACCGACTCCCAAGAAAATAATGTCTCCAGACACGCAAGCAATGAATGATAGCTGTCATCTCCTTATCATGCACTGGGTATCTCCTCTCAGTGTCATTGAGCTTACGTGACTCATAGGCCACTGGATGCCCTTCTTGCATGAGAACTCCTCCGATAGCAAAATCTGAGGCATCAGTGTATAGCTCGAATGGCTTTAAGTAGTCGGGCAGCTAATACGGGCTCTTTGGTGACGACATCTTTCAAGTCATCAAAGGCCTCTTGACATTTGTCGCTCCAACACCATTGTGCCTTCTTCTTTAACAGGTCAGTCAATGGTGCCGCCCGTGCTGAGTAGCTCATGATGAACCGCCTGTAATAGTTGGCAAGCCCAAGGAAAGAACGTAGTTCCAACACGTTCTTGGGCTCCTCCCATTCCCTGATGGCTTGCACCTTGTCATGCTCCATCATTATCTTTCCGGCTTTAATATGGTGTCCCAGGAATGACACCTCCTTCTGTCCGAACGAGCACTTCTCTTGCTTCACATAAAGCTCGTTCTCTCGTAAGACCTGGAACACCTGTCTCAAATGCTCCACATGATCTTGTAAGTTGCCGCTATACACGACGATATCGACGAGATAGACGACTACAAATTTATCAAGGAAAGGCCGAAAAATCTTATTCATTAAGGTGCAAAAAGTAGCAGGGGCGTTGGTGAGTCCAAAAGGCATCACCAAGAACTCATAAGAACCATACCTGGTCACGCATGTCGTCTTCGCCTCGTCCCCTTCGGCGATGCGCACCTGCCAATACCCCGATCGCAGGTCCAACTTGGAGAAGTACCGTGCTTTGCCGAGTCGATCGAACAAATCGGCGACTAATGGGATTGGATACTTGTTCTTGACAGTGATCTTGTTGAGAGCCCGATAGTCAATGCACATTCGCAAGCTGCCATCATGCTTGCGTTGAAATAGTACTGGTGCTCCAAATGGTGCCTTTGAGGGCCTAATGAACCCTGCTTCCAGCAACTCCTTCAATTGCTTCCTCAACTCCTCGAGCTCTGGTGGGGCCATGCGGTATGGTGCCATGGCTGGAGGCTTGGTCCCTGGCTCCAGCTCAATCTCGTGATCCACCTCCCTTCTAGGAGGTAGTCTCTTCGGTAGCTCCGGAGGCATCACATCCTTATACTCTACAAGGACTCCGGAGATTTCTGATGGAACCTCATTCCCATGGGGCTCCTCTTCCTCCACTAATGCAGCCAAGAAAGTCTCTTGTCCCTTTTTGATCCCCCTGGACACCTGGATTGCTGAAATTGTCTTGGCTTCAACTTCTTCTCGTGTGACAGGGACGGACCATGACCCTTGATCCCTTTTGATCATAATTGACCCGTCCGCTTCAAAAGAAAAGGGCCTTACTGTGTCGATGAACTCAAGTCCCAACACCAAAGAGAAGTCGTCCATATGCACGACTGTGAGATTTATGGTGCCACTCCATTGTCCCAGAAAAATAGGCACCTTGTGCGCCACACCAAGGATAGGAACGGGCGAGGTGTTGACTGTCTTGATCCTCCCTGGTTCCTTGGTGTACTTGATTCCCAACTTCATTGCTTCCTTCCCCGTAATGAAGTTGTGTGAGGCACCAAAGTCCACGAGTGCCTTAGAAGCTCTCCCATTCACTAATGTATCAACAAACATAAGTGAGCCCTTCGGGCAAGGTAACGTGCTTACCTTGACCACTTTGGTGCTCTCCTCAGCTTTTGGTGTGGCCCGTACGCTACTAAAGAGGCGCAACGACCCCATTTGTGCATCGTCCCCCGACGATTCACCGCCCGAAGCTATGATGGCGCTGAGCTTCTGTCTCCCAGGGCAATCCCTTGCCCAGTGCGGCCCTCCGCACAAGTAACAGTCCCTGTTGTTGGGCTTGTCAGATGATGAAGAGGACCACGATGATCCCTTTTCCTTGTCCTTTTTCACCGTCTTTTTGCTACTGGTGCTGCTTCGATCGGTGGGCTTGGCTCCCCCACCTTTTCCCTTGCTGCCGTTGCTGCGCCCTTCCTTCCTTGTGTCCTTGTAATCAACCAAGGACTCTGCGGCTGCGATGGCCTCAACAAGTGTTTGAACGTTCCTCCTTTCTACCTCTTGTTGAGCCCATCGTTGCAACCCTCCAATGAAATATATAAGTTGTGTAGCCTCCGGCAAATCATCAACTTCGAGCACGAGGATTGTAAATTTCTTGATGTACTCCTTGATGGTGCTGCTATGCTTGAGTTCACGCAGCTTCATCATGGAGACCTTGGCTGCGACATGCGGGCGGAATTGCTTCTTGAAATCTTCCTTGAATTGGTCCCATGTTCGGATGGAACATGAATCACTCTTGATGTCTTGTTCACGCCTTCTCCACCACAGAATGGCATCATCTCCGAGATACATAGTGGCAGCATTAATCTTGGAGGCATCCTCCTCCAAGTGCACAGCCTCAAAGTATCGCTCCATGCTCCATAGGAAGTTGTCAATTTCCCGAGCATCCCTCTTTCCATGATACTTTGGAGGCTTGGGGATTTCCACCTTAGGACCGGCTTGAATGGTGGCGCCCCCAGCCACCGTAGCCCTTTTTAGCAACGTGAGTTCCTCCTTGAGGAGCTCATTCTCCTTCTTCAAAGCAAGGAGTTCCCCCGTGAACTCCTCACGCATTTTCGCCATCTCGCCCATCATCTTCTCAAAAGCCTGATCAGCGAGTGATTGAGCATCAAGGGATACCTCCTCTAGACGATTGTCTAGTTCCCCTAATTGCCCTTTGAGCGTAATAACTTCATTCTCGACCTTGCCGACAGAATCCGTCATGTCGCAAGCAGCAACTTCGGCTTTGGCCGATCTCTCATCAACTTTATTCACTCGCTTCTCAAGCTTTTGGACAGCTTGAATGAGAGCCTCAGGCGTATAGCCCTCGGTTGTTTGTGAAGCACTAGCGTCCTTTCCGTCCTTGCTCTTTGCCATTCTTCCTCCTTCGCTCACAACTCGCTAACAAAGCTCGACAGCACTATAGTCCCCCGCGACCGTAGCTGCTCTGATACCACGTTGTCACGTGCTGACTAATCCCCCTAGTCTTATGCACGCTAGCCTACTAACTTCCCTCCCTCGGATGCTAGTCAAGGCTTAACCCCGAAATGCTTCAAGCAAGAGTGTGCAACGAAAGTTAAGGAATGTTGAGAACACAAGAGGATATAAATATTTTGAATGCTTTGATTGCTTGAGAGAGAGTGTTTACAAGTATTTTCTGAGATGCCCCCAAATGAAGGCCAAGTCCCCTATTTATAGTGTTCTAAGCATGGCCTAGAACCTTCACTAACCTCCTCAAATGGAGGGTTCTAGATCTAATCCTTTCTAGAGTATTCTATACATTTCTTTAGTACATTCCCTCTATGTGCAAGGCTCTAGAATTATCTACACAACTCTAGAATTCACAGATGATTCAAGGATGTCCTAGGAGGTTCTAGAAGCTTCCGGATGCATCTCGAGTCTCCTTGAGTATTCTGGAACCTTCCGGACTTCTCCTTCAAAATCTAACACCACCATGATGTTTATTGGGCTTAAAAATGGTGGACCCCCAAATTTGGGTTCAATCGGACTTCATTTGGGTCCCCAAATAGCCCATTATTGTGTTACTGTCACTTGGGTGTTCACTAGGGTGACAGCAGTGGAGCAATATAAAGCTCTATAGGGGGAGGGTGTCTCTGGCCTAGCCAGCGCGCACCAAGGGCATTCCCCCTAGCCACGATTGTTGCCTACCGACCAATGGCCCTAGTGAGGGGTGGAATGTGTGGGTCGTGACATATAGCTTTAGTATAAGAGCATGCGTGGTTATAGAGGATTGTATAACCTCTTATTGTGATCGAAGGCCTAACCTTAGGTTTACTTTGATTGACCAAATTAACCCACGGAGTAATAATCAATGTCAATAATTATCTTTTAGTATTAAAAATACTTTTGGTGCACAATTAAATTGTTGGCTTAAAGTTCATAATATAGTGATTGGGTAGAGCTGATCATTAATAATCCGACCTATTAATATGACAGATTTAAACAGCCCAATATATGGCATTTCAGGCAAAGGCAGTAGTCGTATTCGCTTTATCCAATTCAAATACAAGTATGACTATTGACTAAAAGCTCGACCCGACCCCGCCCGGCCTGACCCGCTGACCTAGTAAGAGGTGATTGCTTGCGGCCCAATCATACCGAGAAAGCGTATGAGGCAGAGCACTCAACATCAAGAGGCCTTTAAAAAAGGCAGAAAGAATAAGAAAGCAAAACAATCTAAAACAAGAAATTTGTAAAGGATTAAAAAAGGAGAAAGAGATCGCTTTTAAAAGTCATCATAATCTCAGCTTTATCCTCAAACTCAAACCCACCTCAGACCTAACCATAACTTAACGGGGTTTCACAATAACTCAAATTTTCCTTCTCTTCTCTTAATTCGTTGCTCTAATCGCCTGCAAATTATCCGCTTTTAAGGTTTGATGATTCTTAAATATTCTACCTTTTTCTTTTTAATTGTTTTTTAAACTTTTTCAAATTTGCTTGTTCTTTGTTGGGTATGAACATGGTTGATCAGTGAATTAGATATAATCTATGAAATCTGCTACTTGAATATGTCAATCTTTTTGGCTTTATTGCTTCGGATCAGTTTTCTGTATCTATATCTTTCGGTTACAGTAATTCTTTTTAATTTTTAATATTTTCAATTTTATTTTTGTGGGGTGAGGTTGGATGGGTTAATTATTGATTGTCTGCTTGTTCCAAATTATAAAGATTGACTAAGGTATTGTAAATTTCAGTGAAATTAGTGATTATGCCTGATACTTGATGAACCAAATATAAGATTAGATTGATAGATCACTAGTAATTGTCAAATCCCTTCCGTTTAATCATAATCTTATAAAAAGAACTTCTCTTTATTTGTTGTTAAGGTTGATTTCTTGACTTCATAGAGATATAGCTTGTTTAAGCATAATTCTTAACTCGTGCAGATTATATGCAGTTTAATTATGAACTTACACGTCTTTGTTTATTTCTCTTCGACCCTAGTTTCTTGAGTGCATTCATAATTAAGAGGACAGTTATTGGTTTTTTCTGATAGCTTATGTTTTTTAAACTCTTCCTTTATTTCAAGTACCCATGTTGGACTATGATATCTATATCAGACATTCGAGTTTATATATGGATTGGCTGTACAAGTAAAACTATGTATGGATGTGAAAAGAAAGGGAGAGAGGACAGATAACTATGTCAAATATGCTGGCAATTGGGTTTGACATGAAAATTTTGACAAAGATTTAGGAAAGTAATCAACTGCTTCATGGTCATTTGTATTTGGATCACATTGCAAACAAGCAAATGCTTTGGAAACTAAATACGTTTTGTGAATGCTGCACAATGGTGTGTCAAACCTTCCAATAGGCACCCATACCTGCCAATTGGTCACATTTGCGACTTATTGAAGGTTACCTGCTTATTAAATTGTCAAATGCGTCCTCCTTTTGATGGTTCTGGTTTCACTTAACTGGTTTATAATCAGCAAAACAAACATTTACATCGTTACTTGTTAATATATGGTGGTGAAAGTCAATGATATATGGCTTGGCTGTGGGGATAATGATAGATATTGGCCTGATACATATGTGGGCACTATATAACTTACTGTTTGCTAATTTTTCATATTCTATAACTTGTATACATCAAAGTAAAATTCTGAAGTCCTTGGCTCATAATTTCAGGATCTAATGGCAAAGAGCTCCTTCAAGCAAGAACATGATCTTGGTAAGGTTTTCAACTTAGGTTTTTGTTGGAACTATTTGGATTCTGATTCTCATAATTATCCTCCACCCTGATTGTTTTCAGAGAAAAGACGTGCTGAGGCTGCCAGGATCAGAGAGAAATACCCAGATAGAATACCGGTAAGCAATTTTATATGTTCTGCAGGTTGTTAATGTCTACTGGTTGTTTAGACTTACCTTTGTTAATTAGTCTCTTTGTTGAATATGTACCTCTCCTTTGTACAAATGGTGATTGGCATTAAATCACATCTGCAGACTGATAATGAAATCTAAATGATGCTAGCATCACTTTGTTTTTAATGGCTTTACATCATCTGGGTTATCCATCTGTTACTACCTAATAGAACAAGTCTGTTTACATATTTGCCTTTGTTAAACATGACCTTTATCTTACATATTGAATTTTCCAACCATGTCTTTGGTGTGAGTTTGCTTTGAGAGATTTTGTTTTTCCTCAATCTATTATTGGGTCTCTTCTATCTTCTTGTTTTCATTTATATTTTGGTCATTGTTTGTTGGTGTGTTTTGAAGGTGATTGTGGAGAAAGCAGAGAGAAGTGATATCCCTAATATTGACAAGAAAAAGTAAGATTTTTGTTCCTTATATTTTTGTATGAATCACTATATCAAATCTGAACTTTTATCTGGTATTCTGATGGTATTGCATGATATTTCGTTGCACTACTTATTTCTGATTTGTCTTTATCTTACCAAAGCAACTATCTGTTGGTATAATAGTAATGATGCATGGCTACTTAATCTTTCATGGGGTTATCTGTATCTTTCATTTTGATAGGGATTGGAAAACTAATAGGAGATTTAGTGTGGTGGATCCAGAAATCTTAGGCAGGGGTGCTTAAGTTTTGGCATGTAAAACAAAGACTTTGCTGACTGCTTTGACCTGAATATTTTTTTTATTTATCATTATTATTATTTTTAATTAATTCTGTTAGAATCATATCAGAAAAATACCCTTTTGTCTAAGTCCAATAATCTGAAAAGTTTTCAGACCTTTCAGCAGTAAATGCCTTTAATTCCTTCTTTTCTGAACGGGCATTAAACTTACTGCAAGTCTGCAATGTAAAGAAAAAAAAGGGAAGATTGTCTTCTAATGTTGGGGAATGCTCATCTTTTGTTTAGCTGGCAATAAAAATAAATATAAAAAAATAAAAAATAAGTGATGAATAAAGAAAGAAAAAATTCCGGAGCTAAGTTATGGATGGGTACAAGAAACATAAACAAAGTCATGTATTGTTTCTTTTCTTGCTTTCTTGTGTTGAATAATCTAACTTGAGAGTCCTACTTGTTAGCCTGTATATTGAACACTGATCTGGCAATGCCCCCTTCTTTACTTAATGGACTGCTGAGCTGTCACCTTCCTGAAACATGTGCATTTTATGTCTTAATGTTGCTTTGGATAATCAATGTCATTAATGGGGTACAGAGAACAATGGGTCTACAATCATCATGCAGCAACATAATCTCCACGAGATTAATCAAAATGTATAATTTAGCATTTCACGTTATTAGAAATGCTCTGTATTTAGTCTGTAAGTTCTGAGGACCTTATAAGATAAAACCTTTGAAAGAGTGACTTGGATGCAATGTCAATATTGTCTTTGTCTTAATGTTGCTTCGGATAATCAATGTCATTAATGGGGTACAGAGAACAATGGGTCTACAATCTTCATGCAGCAACATAATCTCCATGAGATTAATCAAAATGTATAATTTAGCATTTCACGTTATTAGAAATGCTCTGTATTTAGCCTGTAAGTTCTCAGGACCTTATAAGATGAAACCTTTGAAAGAGTGACTTGGATGCAATGTCAATATTGTCAATCTTTAAATTTAGAATTGAGGTCATTTATTTTACTTGTTCCTCCATTTAGTACTTGCTTACTTGCATGGATTCTCAAGTATAGAAGCTCATGGAATCTAGCGAACAGCATAAGCATAGAAGCTCGTGTAGTACTTGCTTGAAGCTCATCTTATGCTATGCTTCTATGCTTAAGCCGTTATCTAGATTCCATGTTTTGCTCTTTGCAATGACAAGTTATAAAAGGCTTAGGATTCTGTCAAAGGTCAATGTCAAGACCAAGAGGAGTTTCTTAACATTAAAATTGGCTCTGGAATTTTACTAGTGCATAATTTAGTTACTTTTCAAGGATATATGAATCATATGATCTTATGCATGATTGTTGTATTGTTAATTCTAGTGTTAGAAGAACCTTGATTTAAATAGCAATTTGGAGCTATTCAACACTATCACAAACAGTCAAACTTTTGATAATAGAACAATTTGTCTAATTTCAACCAAGCAGTTCTTGTTTTCTTTGCTGGTCTGGGGTAAAGCTGGTTACACTCGCTCCTCCTCACTGCATGCGGAAGAAAACTACCTGCTACAATGGCTAAAGCCTATTGTAAGGGCTTTTATTCGGTGGTTAGTTGTTGCTATAGTTTAATATGAAGTATGATATGATTTCGTGTTAGACTGAATATGTTAAGACTTGAGAGTAGCTGAATTTTCTGTATACAATGAATTTATCTGATAGACATAGTTGCTAATTCACAATATTGCAGATACCTAGTCCCAGCTGATTTGACCGTAGGACAGTTTGTTTATGTGATCCGCAAAAGGATCAAGCTAAGTGCAGAGAAAGCAATCTTCATTTTCGTGGATAATGTCCTCCCACCTACTGGTAATCTTTGTGCTAATTTTCTCACTCTCTTTTGCGCTTTTGATGCTTTCATTTCCTAATTAATATGGAGAGTGTTCAGTGTTGATGAATCTCCCCCACTTTGTTTTCTGCAGGAGCAATCATGTCTGCAATATATGAGGAGAAGAAAGATGATGATGGATTCCTGTATGTTACTTACAGCGGCGAGAACACATTTGGTTTTCTTGCTATGGAGTAATGTGATGTAACTTGATGGATTCTCCCGGACCTAAATAATTGAATAGTTGTCATTTTGGTTTCATAGTTATTGTGAATTGCTATTTCAACACTCAAAAAGGAGTAAACACTGTAAATGCTGTAAATAATTTGATCCTATGATGTTTAAATGGTAACTTTTACTGCTTTTAAGACTTGTTAAAGATAATGAGACTCGTGCTCTCAGATGCAAGGCAAAAATTGAGATTGTAAATATCATGTGGAGCGAACGTGAGCTTCTGCCACTTAGCATATTGCGTGTGGACAATGAAAATGGGCCTACTTTGTTTGTTTGTGTTCCCAATTTCTACCAAGGAAGCAATTTGGTGGTTTTGACTACATACCCTGTCTCCATCGCCCAACGCCCATTCTCTGGGCTCTTTTCCTCCCCTTTTGTCTCTAGCTGCTTCAATTATCATATCGCACTCCTTCCGTCTCTTTAAAATTTAATCGACTATTTTAGGAGTATACGGGATATAGGAAGGCACATATATAAACAAATATGTATATTGTAAATACGGTCTCAGCCATGTCTTAAAAACAAATCCAAAGCATATATCTTGAGATTGAATAGCTAGTTTAATTTATGAATTGGACCGTACCATAAGATACAGTTTATGTTTTTATTAAGATGACACGTCCTAATTAGTGCTAATGATTTCAAGGACATAAGCAAGTAGGTGGACCAATGAGAAAAATGCATGTAACAGTAGTCTCGTTGGGAGGAAGTAGCTTAAAATGATGCAGTCTACATTAACAAATGTGGATCTTCGATGGCACACTCATGAAGACACAGCCACTCGTACTGCACTGACATAACTACTTAAATTAGCATTAGCATAATAGCATTAGCATGCTAATTAACAGTAATTAAGACTTACTAGATATTGGTGCGAAGACTAGCTACCCATATTACTACTATTATCGGACATAAGACATTAATTTCCAAATAAATACATTTTAAGGGACCAAAATTCTACCATTCCAACTTTTTACAAACTAAGCAGGCTAGCTCAGTAAATTAGGCAAGAAAATAAGCTAAGGTTTAAGATAAATTCAAGATTTTGTAGCACCTAATTAAATTGGGGTGAAACACAAGACATACCCCACTTAGTAATCCTAGAACCAGGACATGGAATGGTGTTCCACTTGGGTAACAAATGGGCAAACCGCCCCTTATTCTCTGTTTCTGTTTCTAATTTTCTATCAATCTAATTTACAAACACCACCATATCTTTTATATACTCTCTTTGCGTCCATAATATTTTATCGCATGTACGTAGTGATGACTTGCGATTACTGATTATAACATTACTTTTATATTATAGAGACATGTATGTAAATACATGATTTAAATGTATTTCAATTCTTTCATAAAGGGTGTATAAGTAATAATCGTATCATGTACTTGGTTATAAGGTGTTGAAACTATGTGATTATTGTTTCCTGGTAGAGAGACTTGCCAGTGTGCATGTTTATGATGCCCGACAGAATACAAGTAGAGTAGTAGTTGTATTCCTATCTTCACAAGGTAATGTCTTCCTAGGATAATCGAGAAGAACAAATATATGTTGAGATTCAAAGGAAATTTTGACAAGTGCACATACTACTCTAGTTGGGGTCCATTATAAAACTACTTGACAATAGAAGATCAAAATTAGTACACTAGCTACCAATATACGTTTAGTTATTCTCCCTCTTCTTCATTGATTTGGAGTAAACTCTATGTAACAGCCTATAACTTGCAAGAGGCTATAGCCAAGGAAGCTAATGCCTTTTCAGCTACTGTTTATGACGTCGCATAATATTACATTGCAGGATGTTCCAAAAAAATAAATCACCTTTGTCTTTTAAACAAAAGCTAACTTAGTCGAAATTACTATTATATAAGTGATATATGTGTGAAGTTATAGTGAATGTCTTTAAACAATAAACAAATAAGACAATTAATTTAGGATGAGAAGTTATTTTCTAATCTTAGTATAGTATCATAGAGAAACAGAATAGTTGATTGATTATTGTACGTTTAGTACTCATACTCCGTATCATTGATTACCAAGAAGAGATATAGGAATCTAGATTGCTCAATTGACATGTAAAGGGAAGTGAGGAATAGTAGGAGTAGTACCGTAGTAGTAGTGGTGGTGGTGGTGGGGCTAAAATGTAAAATGTAAGCCCCCACAAGAGTAAAAAGTGTTAGGAAGAAAGGGGGACAAGTGTAGTCCTTCAAAAGATATATTGAATTGGCAATATCAAGGTTCATCATCACCCAAACACCTCCATGTTCTCGCAATTAAGGACCTCCTCTTCCTTAGCTTCTTTTTTTTTCTTTTCTTTTTTTTCTAATTGGAAAAACCTTCTTTTATAACCCTCTATATATATGTTCATATTAAAAGGTCTCTTAGCACACTACTACACCCTTTCTATCCTAAACAACATAACTCAAGGAAAAAAAAAAAACCCCTAGCTTTAATCCCCTCATTTAAATACTAGATAGCTAGTTTTTAAACTTTTTTTTTTTTTTTTTTTTTTTGCCCTAATTATACACATTAATATATATATATACTCACACTTTTTTTAGATCATTATCTTATCATGTCTTTGGTTGCGCTTAAATTTTTGGCTGCCTTGTTATTACTTCAAATGCATGCATGCAATGCAAGGCACACCTTTGATCTTGTTTCCTATACCAAGGTATATGAATAATTTAATCTCTGTATTTCTATTTGATCTGAACTTATTGATAATATAACAAAATAATAATACATGCTGATCTGATCTTGTATATATACATGATGTGGATATATTTTTAAGGTGGTGGATGCTGGTGAGAAAACAAAGCTAGTACATCATGAAATTGATCTCAAGGGATCTCATATATTTGAGGATATCATGTATACATCTTCAGGTACGTTATGCTAGATAAATTTGTCCCATTATTTAACCGAGACGTGACGTGTGACAAAAATCACAACTAATATAATCTAGGTAGCTATGTTATAGTATAGCCAGGCCACAGCCCTAGTTAATAATAAGTTGTTAGCCAGGACATGTATATATATATGATCATGCGCATGCGACCCTTAGCTTTGTAGACTCATGCCGTAGGCATGGAAAGGCCGAAAGGAGGATATATATGCCTTATTAGTTATTATATACGTACACAACCTTATCTTAGTAATAATAAAGACCGTATTTCCAATGAATTAACAATAACATGCAGATATATTAATATAATAATCAGCTTTGTTTTCAGTTAAATAATAATTTTGTCTTTTGGAATGAACTTCGCAGATGACTTATCAATTGCTACGTTGGAAAATAACTCAAGGCCGTCAAAGGAAATGCAGGTAGATAGCTACCTTATAATAGAAATTATAATTAGAAGCTCAACTAGTTAAGAACGAACATTACTGACAATCACACATTCTGTACGTTATTGTGTTATTGGCAGGGATTATTCAAAGTGAAGGCAAGATCAATGCTAGAATCTAAGTCGCATGATGAGACCAAACAACCGAGTACTAGTGATGCAAATGAAGGTGAATCCGTGGAGGACGCCGTGGTCATGGATTATGTTCATCCCCATCGCAAGTCTCCGATTCACAACCATCATTAGCTAGCTATATAATAAAGTCCTTATATGATTATCAATCTAAGCTCTTAAAACAATGTTTACGTTTAAACATAAAACAAAAATATCATTTCCCCTCTTTTGAGTCTGATTTTCAGACATGTAACATGATTAAACCTATAATATTAAGTATGTAGTGGATCCACAGGACCACAGTTTTTCCTTTTTTTTTTTTTTTTATTTTTTTATTTTTTTTGTGTGTGTTTGTATCCTTGAACAACGATATGTATGAAGTGTGAATATATTTTGTAACTTATTATATATATATTGCGGTCAAGGAATTATATTAATGAATTGAAGTTTAACGTGAAAGATCAAGTGGAGGGCCATGTTTGACAAGTATGGTGCTTGGTTCCTCTTTATTACAATACACTGAGGGAGAGGCGGCAGGTATCTGTTATTAACTGCTATTTCAGTTATGCTCAACTACCAATCTCCCGCCATGTAACTGTAACAGATGATTAAAAATTATTCTATGGATTATAATCAACATGCTATATGTTCATGATTTTCACTCATGAAGTCATGGACCATACGTCTTCCTATATATATATATATATATATATTACAAGGTCTTGTTTTTTAGCCACCATTTTAAATAAGGAGTTTTTCTTTTTTGGTTTTGGTTTTGGTTTTGGTTTTTTTTTTTTTTTTTTTTTTTTTTTTTTTTTTTTTTTTTATGCAATTAGATCAGAAAAACATAAATTAAGTTCGATAAACGCCTACCGAACTCTTAACTAGTTGAAAGATAACAATCAAAAAGAGGTACTAATCGTCTAATCCAAATTATATAGCACGAAATAGTAGTCTTTACTAGCAAGAAATAAGCCTCCTTTTGGTTAAGTGTAAATAGATCACAAAAAAGGGTAAAATTAGAAATGATTCAACTCCTAATCAAGACTTCACCAACTAAGTTGTCGGACTCTACATTGTGCACATGCCGTGGTGAAAATTTCAAAATATAATGCATGAATGGAGACATTAGCATAGGGATTGCTTGGACTATCATCCTTAAATGGCCAAAAGTGAGATATAGATTTCTGCTGTAGCAAATCTCTATCATATGGATATTTGTCTCGTGATATAATCTTGTGGAACAATTATGTGAGGGCCGAGTCGATATCAATGTTGGTTCATATACATCTCCTCTTTTATGTGCCTGCCGATATTTGTGCCAATATGCATTTATTTCTTGGGTGATTATTTATGAGTCCATGTGTTTTACACACAAAATGTATTCACATTTTTTTTTTTTTTTTTATTTGTTAGGAGATTCAAATATTGGTGTAAGAGTTAAAAATAAAAATAAAAAGTGTTAAAGTAGAGAAAGATGTGGAGAAAACGGCTTAGGCCTTGTATTGATTATACCACAATATATATACCCAATACAAAAAAGAAACCTAACATGCCTAAAACTCCTAACAAGATAAACATGACATAAATACAATATTAACATATATAAACCAACCGACTCATATTACTCCCCTTCAAGTTGGAGCATGCAAATCACGAATGCCCAACTTGCGTAACAAAAACCCAAATTGTTGTCGTCCAAGAGCCTTTGTAAGAATATCTGTCAACTGATGATGCGTTGAAACATATGAGGTGGAAATATTACCCTTCAACAACTCATCACGAACAAAATGACAATCTACCTCAATATGCTTCGTTCGATCATGAAACACCGGATTCTTAGCAATATGCAAGGCCGACTGACTATTACAAAACAACTGCATAGACTTTGTATGATCAACTCCAAGAGAGAACAACAATCCCTTCAACCATTTCAACTCACAAGTAGCAACTGCCATAGAATGATATTCAGCTTCAGCCGAGGAACGAGATACGGTAGGTTGTTTCTTGTTTTCCAAGAGACAGGTGAGCAACCAAGAAACACAAGATAACCTGTCAAAGAACGTCCAGTTAGAGGACACGCCGCCCATCACTATCACAAAATGCTGTCAACCGTAAATCTTTCACAGGTTGTAACAAGATGTCTTGTCCCGGACTACCCTTAAGGTACCACAAGACAAGAATAGTTGCATCTCAATGAGAAACCTGCGGATCACTAAAAAACTGAGCCAAAACATGCACCGAGTAGCTCAACTCTGGCCGAGTAACTGACAAATAAACCAATCGTCCAACCAATCGACGATATTGATCCGGTTGATCAAACGGCTCGCCCGAAGCATATGCAAGTCGATGATTCTGCTCCATCGGAGTATCAATGGGTTTACAACCCAACATTCCTGCCTCAAACAAGATATCCAAAGCGTAATTTCGTTGAGAAAGAAAGATACCCTCCGCAATACGACCAACCTCAATGCCTAAGAAATACTTAAGCACACCCAAATCTTTCATATAGAAGCATTTGCACAAATAGGCCTTAAACCGAACAATAGCATCATGAGAGGGTCCTGCAATAATCATGTCATCGACATATACGAGAACATGCAAAGATATATACATTGCCGTATACATAGCTAAACAGAGAGTAATCAGAGTATGAGTTTTTAAACCTTAAATCTCTCAGAGCACGAGACAGCTTCGAAAACCACTGCCTTGGGGCTTGTTTCAAGTCATATAAAGACTTCCGCAACCTGCAAACTTTGCCAGGTGTCTGAGTTCCGTACCCTGGAGGAAACTGCATACATACTTCTTCATCCATATCACCATGAAGAAACGCATTATGAACATCCATCTGATGTAACTCCCATTCAAAGACACAACAACAGCAAGAAAAAGACGTACCGTACCCATCTTTGCAACAGGAGCAAACGTCTCATTGTAATCAACTCCGGAAACCTGTCGATTGCCATGAACAACCAAACGAGCCTTGAGACGTTCCACCTTTGACTTGTCAGTGCACTTGATTTTATACACCCAACCACTGCAATCGCCTTCTTACCGGGAGGAAGATCCTCAACGGTCCATGTGCTATTACGCTCTAAAGCGTCAATCTCGTCTTGCATTGCCTTACGCCAACCGACGTCTTTAACCGCTTCCTTAAACAAAGACGGTTCCTTTCCCTCTGTGATCGTTGCCAAAAAACACTTGTGTCTCATAGAAAAACGATTATATTCAACATGACAAGCTATAGGGAAAGGTTTACTTGAGGAACAAGATTGAGGAGGGGTGACAATTGATGTAGCAGGGTCTATATTTTCAGTGATGACGTTGTTCATAACATAATGTCGATGCCACGAAGGAGGTCGTTTTTCACGATGACCGCGACCTAAATTTTCCGTCGAACTCCCCCTTAATTCTAAGGGTGTGATAGAAATAGATTCATCAAGAATTTCTTGCTCCGGAACACTACGGCAAAAACCGAGAACCACCCTCATGAGACACACCATCCTAAGAACTAAGGGGCAACTGTGGTGTTGTGTTCCGCCTAGCACTAGGCAAAGAATAAAGCGAAATGGGCGAAGAAGAGGGCGAAGCAGGGAGCTCCGGTCAGCACTAGGCGAAAAAGAAAGAGAAAAGGTTGTAAGCTTGCAGGTCGTAGCAACGCCAGCCTAGATTATTACACCAACCAATCTATACTAGCATTATTGTTAGTACTGGCTAGCTAGCAATGCTAGTATATATACAATATACAAGTATAAGCACTTGATTGATTTTGCTATATAAAGATAGTGTGCGCTTTTGTTATACTAGTATTTTAATTCGTATATGTTTCATTTTATTTTTGGCCGAAGGTAAGGACTTTTATTTGACTCTAACACTCAATGTTTCTTCGTCTAGTATTTTTGGATTAGACAATTTGAAAGGTAAAAAAAATCTCCACATATCCCCAAACACCCAAACTTGGTAAGAATTGAACCCCAAATCTATCTCTAAGACCTAAAGTTAGAGTTACTAAGTGAGCCAAGCCTGTGTGGGCATATAATGGAAGGCTTTTCATTTGTTTCTTCTGCATTAGTTGAAGTCTCCAATAAGGCAATAAGTTCAATTTCCTTGCTCTCTTGGGCGTATGGTGTATCACTTCATTCTATTAGTGCTCCACAAATTTTAAACCCTTAAAATATTTCATTCCACCCAATTCATATAGTTTTCAAGGCTTACACAACTGCTAATTAGTGTTACAAATTGTGTTGGAGCTCGTAGCTAATATTGATATGTCGGCACTTTAAACAAACAGATACTCCGTAATATGATATGAGAAATCTAAGAAATAAATGTCCCAATAATTAAAAATATGGAAACTAAGATATGAATGAAGGTGTACATTTTATCTTACCTCAGTTTCATTTTCTGTAACTCATGATGACAAACATGGCAAAGTCTCAAGCCATATAAAAAATAAAATAAAATAAAATAAATAAATAAATAAATAAATAAAAAAAGTCATGTATGCAGGGCTAGCTTTGTACAGAGTAGCAAATACTGAAAACATTAATCTATATGAATCATACAAGTTCATAAGAGATGGTGACCCTAACCCATATGAGTACCGACTTATCAAGTTCGGCAAGAAGAAAAACGTTTGGGACAAATCCTGTAACCGGCCATCTTTGACTATTAAAAATCATGTAAGCTATAGAAGACATCATGGGACATTGATCCGCTTACAAAGCTAGTCAGGAGACATCTTGGTCCATTCAACTGGAGCCCAAAAAAGGACCTCAACAATATTGTCCTGCTCATGACTCATGAGTCAATCCAAGGAACCTGTACTTTCTCATGCAGTGCATATAACTTGTTGACTGGTATACTATTTTAAAAATCAAATATAAGATGAAAATTGCTCTGGTAAAATAAACCACCTGAAGCAAAACATCTTGTATAAGACCACAGTACAATTACAGTAGCACTGAATCAATGCCTGTTTGATTGATCTTGAACAATCAAGCAGTGCTGCAGCTGAATATAAATGGCTTCACAAATTGAATGAATTCGGATGTACGGATCCCCATCTTTAAGTAGATCTCCCCTCCTCCCAACCAGAAGAAGTCAGGCAAAAGCTTCACAATTGCTTCATCCAATATAACCTGGAAACAGACAAAGACAGAAGGAAAACAGTTTTGAATCGACTATGTTTCAAATAGAATCATCAAACAACACACATACACGTAAACCAAGAATAACAGAGTAGCTAAAATGAAAATTTTCAAATGATCTACTCTTGCTAAAGTATAATGCTAATGCACGTCACTGAATAATTTGAAGGTGCAACTCTGAACCTTAACTGGTAAGAGAAGAGATCGCGTCTTACACACTAGAAAAGTGACATTGCACACTTTTAGGCAGAAGCATGGCCTTTGTTAGTAGGTTCAGAGCATTTTGTCTCAGGTCATAGCTTTTATGTATTACAGGCCTATTACAATTTTATACTGAAAAGAAAAGATCTTTCATCAATTACCTGCTAAATAAAATATATGAAGTATAAGAATACTCTTCTGATGCAAATTACTTCAAGGTATTACTATTGACTCTATATGATGTGTAAGTAATTGATACAATCAACAAACAAAAACAATCACTGAAGGTTATCAACTTCAAACTAAAAAATTTCTACGCATGCACAGCTTGCACAATACTCTTTAGAGATAATCTAATCATCTACTGATCTACTCCATATCACATGGACAACAGGAGTCTTATGCTATTCAGGAACTCAGAGATTAAAAGAAGTCCAACTTTCCCAGGAGGCTTGATATTCCAACATAGTAGATACTTGAAAACTTTTAAAGCTACAGTTTTATATCAGTAGTCAGTAGTATGCAAAATTGTTACAGTTTTAAAGCTTACATTTGAGCTTCGCAGCAACATAGTAGTAAAGCACTTGCTACGTAGCTTAAACTTGTATTTTTATAGAACTTGCACACTGGCAATATCCGACTAGCTGTACAAAGTTCAGTCTTAGAAACAAGCTACTTCACATAAAAATAGAATTAATTTGAAAGAGCCTAAAAGGCTTACCAGAATTACAGCAATCTATGTTCAGCAAAACTAACCATCAAATAAAACAGCTGATATCACAGAATGCAATAAAGGAATAAAATAAACCTAAACTTTTAAAAGCCAACTACTCCAAAAGGATGGCATGCCAGAAAGCTTTAACTACTAGTTGACGAACGTAAAAACACATTAAACCAAATAGTAACAGAACTAGAACTCTAAATAGTGTACACTCAAAACTCCAGCCTAGACCCTAAACATTTAACCTCAATGAGGGATCACAAATGGTGAGGTCATTGGACAGTTTGACGGATTGATTGCAAGGCAAAGGGTAGGGCCCAAAACAGGACAGCAGAATTTGATAGCTTGCCCAGACAAAAGATGGTCATGGGCTTATGTGTTGCAGGTATAAGCAGCAGGAGAAAGCCAACCACATGTGAAGGATAAAAAAAGAGACCATGAATCTGATCTTCTCTATAAATGCCACATACCGACAATTTGGAATGGTAAAGATTGTTTAGTATGCTTATACATAATCCTTAACACTCAGGGATATGCATTTGAAGAGAACATTCATTAATTCATAGACAATGACACATTACACAACCAGGTATAATGTAATAAAATCTTCATATCACAATAAGTATGTGCTTATAGTTGTGTATAGCATTTGATTACCGGTATGTCAGTCTTCATGCCAATGCATGTAACAGCATTATGTTCAAATCCGGTTAAGTTGTTTGATATTTCCTCTGGAGCAAGCCTCACTGACCACAAAGAAACAAAAAAATCAGGTTTTTAATCACTGAAAGTTAGAAAGGAGCAGCGAAAACTAAGCCAAAAAAATAAACTCAGTAGCTGTAACAACAATAAAATACTGAAGAAGAATCTCATTTATTTTCAGATAAAAAGACAGAAAGAAGTTAGGCATAGAATCTGCAAGAGGAGGCTGGGAAAAAATCAGGATGGGAATTCATTGTTGCTGATGCAATTAACAAGCTAATTCACTCGATGAATTATATATTTTTTAATATAATTATCTAATGCCAATGTCTAACAGATGCAACACAAAGGGAATAAAAAAGTAAGATTCAGTAACATTAGAGCATGTTTGGTATAGTAATCAATTAATCGTTTCCATTACCTATTGTTTGGTATGAGAGGTGTTTTCATTACCTGTGGGTTGATATGAGATGTGTGGTAAGTTGGTAACACATTTCATTTCCAGCCTATCTTATTTTGGTTAAAACACAATGAAGATAAAAAATGAGAAGCACAAGAGGAGAGTACTGACAATTGAATTTCTTTTTAGGAACTTTGCCCTGATTGAGAGCGTACAGGTAGTTTTTGACAGTTTCAGCATTGAATCTTGCAGTGTACTGCATTACAAAACCCACCAACATTAATTAAATTTAAAACAAGAAGACATGGAATAGTAAGTTAACAAGTCAAGAGAAGAAAAAAAGAGCACCTGTACAACCACCACATAGTACTTTGAATTATACCGGTTGCTACAATCAACAACGTCAGACTGGGCTTGAGTATTCACCTGAACCAATAATATTTCATAATTCCAGATTAAATAAGCTACTGTAATACATAAACAATTCTGTTTCCAAAATCAAAAACCCCGCAAAGTCAAATTATCCGTTATAACCATGAATCATTACATAATATACAGTACACTAAAGCAATTGCAAATTATCAATTGAATGAAAAAAAAAATGATAAGATGAATAAATAAGGAGTGTTACCAAAACAATGCTTTTACAAAGATGATGAATGGATGGCGCAGATAAGAGATCTCGTCTAGCTTCAAGAGAACGCTCATAATAATCGGAAGGGACAACCTTGAACTTAAAATCGGTGACAGCATTGGACCGCAATATGCCGGAAAGACGCTCTGCGGTGGGGTCACTGGCGGCGTCATCGGAGGACGAGAGTTGGAGCTCAAGTTTTGCTATTCTTTCGAGGATTCGTCTTTGAATTCTTTCTAATTCCTCCATCTCCATTTCCATCTCCACTTCCACTCCCATTCCTTCTTCTTTGGACCGCCGAGTCAAACGCCCACAGTTTAACCATTCAGCTTTGGGCCTCAATTTTTTAGTTCCTGGGCTTCAAGATTATTTCACAAACAACAACAGCGTAACACTATCAATCATACGGAGTAACTAAAAATTAGGTAAACAGAACAAATTAAGTACGGAGTAACTAATAGAGTGGTACTCCGTATTATACAAGTATGCATATAGGCCAAACACTATCAATCGTACAGTAGGATGCGACGATATTTGAAATTAATATTTACAACATACCTCCATGATATACAATTTACTAGATGATAGATAGAATCAGAGAATATGAAGTCGTTAAAATCCATCACACGTGTAATTCTTAGGATTTTAAATTACTATGTAAATGAAATTCTTTGATTTGTGAATTTTTTGGCAATAGTATACTTAGCTTGTATGATTTTATAATTTTAACAAAATATGAATATGACAAATTACTTAGTATAACAAAACTACAAAAGTACTTCGTATAACATTGAGCCCGTACCTTAGATTACTATTGGTATCAACATATTCTAGGAAATTATACTTTACGATTAAAAACATGATTCATTGATGATATAATACTAAAGTTATTTTGGATCGTTTATTGTTAAATCACATATACCATCGATATTTAAACTATCGTGGTGGAGCAATCTACTAGCGTTACAAGTCACATTCTCTTTCTTATATACTAACGTGGGGCAATAGTTTTAACAAAAATATAATTCATATCGTATTTTAATAATCCATTGAAACAATTCAATATTTCAGATAAATGAGAACGTAGAACATAATATACTTACAATTACCATAAATATACACGTAAATGATGAGTTTTGATCTAGTATATATATTGAAATTGATGATAGTAAGACTTTTTTAAAAAAATAAAAAAATTAATTCATGGAACTTTAGATTTTCATGTGTATGGACATCCATATGCAAACTTTTGACGTTTCTAAATGTTCAAGCAATATCTATGCGAATTTTCATAAAAGGTTTTAAAGCTAGATAAGGAAAGAAAAGCTGATTAAATTAAACTTATAAGAAAAAGTTTAGCACACAGACTTATAGGATCCATTCGAGTGACTCAACATCTAGTTTTTGCCAAGTCGGACAATGGCACATGGTTTAGAACTTTAGATGCATAAGAGTCCTTTGGAATGTTTATATTTTCAAACGTTTAGTACGGCACATTTAGAAAACATTCAACTAACCCTTACATTACTTTATAGAGTTGACCTATTCAAATTAGAGAGTCAAAATGTTTCCTTCCAAGTTTTTCAGAATGAAATAACAAATAAAGTATTCCATGGAATTATATGCTTATAAAACATTGTTAGTGTTAAAATTATTTATGGGTTTATCTACAAAGTATGAGTGGTTTATTACTCCATAATATATTTACAAGTATACTTTTGTTTGGTGCATGTATTAACTATTTCGTAATCTAGTATGCAAGTGTGATTTAATTCTTGACTCTGTGATGTACGAGTAAGATCTTTGTTGTTGCGTTTGTTGACTACAGTCCGAAAATATTATCAGGAAAAACAAATTTGAATGTTATAATGCACGAATTTAGACTATTTTTATAGGTTTTGGGATTTGATGTCAATGACTTTCTAAATGGTAAGGGAGGGATGCATCCCTAACCATATATTGTTGTTTAGAATCATATATACTCCGTGATTGGTCACATCACGCATAAATGCCCATGACAATTCCGAGTTAATGAAGTAAGGAGTCTAAAGGCAAAGTTGATAATTTGATAGACAAATCCAAGGTCAAAATAGCCTTCGCAATTGAATTGAAGAATGTTTAGACAATTCGTGATCCAGAAAGCAAAACCCCGTTGAAGAAAAATTGGTTTCTTTGGTAGCAGGCAAGCGCGTCGTCTTTAGTACGCTATTGAGTTTGTGTACCTGTAGCTTTTTGAAAATTGACCATTCCCAAGTGTAGGAAACCAAAACCCTCCCTCAGACCCTGACTTATAAAAATATTATTCACCATAAGTCGATAACTCTACCCCTGTTGTGATCTTGATTTCTGAATAACTGTATCAAATAAAATCAGATCACACAAATTACAACAGCAGTACAAATGGCAATGCACAAAAACCCATCATCCACATCAATGTCTGGTTTAGACATAGCAGGATCCTTCTTTGCTCCAATCCAACAAGCCGCCCCACCATCTCCAACCAAACGTCACATTAAAATCTCCATCATCGGCACCGGCAACGTTGGTATGGCCATTGCTCAAACCCTTCTCACTCAAGACTTAGCCGATGAACTCGCTCTCGTCGACGCCCTCCCCGACAAACTCCGCGGTGAGATGTTGGACCTCCAACACGCCGCCGCCTTCCTCCCTCGTACTAAGATCGTCGCTTCCACTGACTATTCCGTCACCGCCGCTTCTGATCTATGTATTGTCACTGCTGGGGCTCGCCAGATTTCTGGGGAGTCTCGTCTTAATCTTCTTCAGAGGAATGTTTCTTTGTTTAAGAAAATTATTCCTCCTTTGGTCCAATATTCTCCTGATGCTATTCTCATGATTGTTTCTAATCCTGTTGATGTCCTCACTTATATTGCCTGGAAGCTATCCGGTTTCCCTTCTAATCGGGTTATCGGGTCCGGCACAAACCTTGATTCCTCCAGGTTTCGCTTTTTGATCGCTGATCATCTTGATGTCAATGCCCAGGATGTTCAGGTACTCTTCATTTTTTATTTTTTTTTTGTTCTTTTGGATTATGTCATTTCAGTTCTAGTGTTCTACAATTAGGGAATATTCATTTTATCTAATTACTGATGCCAAAATACTCCATCATGCATACTAATTATTTCTCTGAAATAGCTTAAAAATTCTATCCTTCAGATCTAATCTTATTTTACGTTTTTGAAATTTTATGAATATGATTAGAACAACTTTTTCCAACTTTCCAAGTTGATCCATATATTTATTCCTGATATTACAGAGTATAAAATATCACTCCATACTCCATTTATTAGTGAAGAGTTAGCTGCCTCAACCCAATACGCAAAAAGCACACTTGACATTAATTAGTGCAACATATCTTATTCTCATTCCTATACCTGCAATTGTTGGATTGTACTTAGGTTTCTGGGCCAAAAAAATTAGATATGAGGCCCACTTTAGCGCTTGGGCCTGTACTTTTTCACTTATACAGACGCCTATAAGGCTATAACTGTTCCTCTGTCCTTGTGCTAAGGAAACAAACGCCAATAAGAGAGCTACTTGATTTCGTGGAAATTGCAATATACATGCATAAACGATCGATAGGATACTCTCAGTTTCACTCTAGTAGTGTATGCAAATATGCAATGTGTATATTTTGTATTCTCTATGATCACACATATTTACTTATTCTACAAACTAATTTGATTATGAAACCAGGCATACATAATAGGAGAACACGGGGACAGCTCGGTGGCACTATGGTCAAGTATAAGCGTAGGAGGGGTTCCTATCTTAAGTTTCCTAGAAAAGCGCCAGATTGCCTACGAGAAAGAAACCTTAGTCAAAATACACAAGGAAGTCATCAACTGTGCCTACGAGGTTATTCAGCTCAAGGGCTACACCTCTTGGGCTGTTGGTTACTCTGTCGCTAACTTGGCTTGGTCGATTCTACGTGATCAACGTGGGATTCATCCTGTTTCGGTGCTTGCCAAAGGTTTCCATGACATCGACGATGGGGAGGTGTTCCTCAGCTTGCCTGCTCAGCTTGGGAGAGGTGGTGTGCTTGGGGTTATAAATGTGCCTATTAGTGATGAAGAAGCTGAGCATCTTAGGAGAAGTGCTAAGACTATTCTGGAGGTGCAGGAGCAGCTTGGCGTTTAATTTAGTTTATAAATTAAGGAGCGAGATCACTCTTGCCTACAATAATGTATTCAATAATATCAATCAGCTCAGCGCACTTAAATTATTGCTTATTTTTCTTTGACAATGAACTGTATTAAATGTTTTGCTTACCAGTTTTTTACCTTTCCCCAATCCCCCTACTGTATTACAGTGTCTCCAACAGAAATATATTTTGTCTTTTGTCTCTATTCATATTGCCTCATAAATTCCTTATCAGCTATGCTTACTGCGTTATTAGAGAGCAGATATATTGAGATAGGAGTATATTGTGATATGATATTACGAGAATAATATCATATGAGATCTTATTGTGAAAAGATATATGTGATATATTGGGATAGATTTTAGGAAGTTGAGATATTTAGGAATATTAGGGTTAGGTATTCCTAGTGTCTATATATATTATAATGTGGTCGAATATTATAAATGCGAAAATATAGGGAAAATACGATGAGAAAATATAGAGAAATATTTTCCCCATAATTTAACATGGTATCAAGAACATGAGAGTTCATTTAGAAGAATGAGAGAACCTTAAACACGAGATTTTGTGTGAGAGGAGAGAATGAAAAAAACCTTAATCACGAGAGATCGTGTGAAAGGAGAAGAAAAAAATATAACGGGTTCGAAAAGAAAGGCATTTTCGTTATATTAATACATTTAATGGGTTCGAAAAGAATGACGTTCCCTCGAAGAAAAAAAAACTTAAACACGAGAGTTCGTGTAAAAGGAGTGATCAATTGTATGCATTATTCATTATTTGCGTACAATAGTGTGTGATTATGAAGATTTTTTTTTTAATTATACGTTATTTTCATAATTCGTATAATAGTGTGAGAATTATTGTGAGAGTTCACAATTTAACTTATTAATTTTTTATGAGAAATCATTTTTTTTTTTTTTTTTGAATATGTTGATCATGGTGAAAAAGTTGATGATTTTAATGAAGATCAAGAACGTGGCATGGTCAAGTATTCAAGTTCAAAAAGATTTTTTTGGTGATTCTCGACGGATCGTTTGATGATTACATATTGCAGCTTGATGATGACAACAAGATGCAGATTTTATTTTATTGTCCAAGTTGGATGTTCGAGATCTACACCTCCGACTTAAGGGAGGGTATTGAGATAGGAATATTTTGTGATATGATATTATGAGAATAATATCATATGAGATCTTATTGTGAAAAGATATATGTGATATATTGTGATAGATTTTAGGAAGTTAAGATATTTAGGAATATTA